GGTTCTGCAGGTGGTGACCACAGACCACTTCTCAGTTCCTATGCTTCCTGGCTGATGTTTTGGTCACTTTTGAATGCTGGCGGTGCTTTCACTCTAGTGGTAGCATGAGACGGAGTCTACAACCCACACAAGTGGCTCAGGTAGTGCAGCTCATCCAGGATGGCACATTAATGTGAGCTGTGGCAAGAAGGTTTGCTGTGTCTGTCAGCGTAGTGTCCGGAGCATGGAGGCGCTACCAGGAGACAGGCCAGTACATCAGGAGACGTGGAGGAGGCCGTAGGAGGGCAACAACCCAGCAGCAGGACCGCTACCTCCGCCTTTGTGCAAGGAGGAGCAGGGGGAGCACTGCCAGAGCCCTGCAAAATGACCTCCAGCAGGCCACAAATGTGCAGGCGTCTGCTCAAATGGTCAGAAACAGACTCCATGAGGGTGGTATGAGGGCCCGACGTCCACAGGTGGGGGTTGTGCTTACAGCCCAACACCGTGCAGGACGTTTGGCATTTGCCAGAGAACACCAAGATTGGCAAATTCGCCACTGGCGCCCTGTGCTCTTCACATATGAAAGCAGGTTCACACTGAGCACATGTGACAGACGTGACAGAGTCTGGAGACACCGTGGAGAACGTTCTGCTGCCTGCAACATCCTCCAGCATGACCGGTTTGGCGGTGGATCAGTCATGGTGTGGGGTGGCATTTCTTTGGGGGGCCGCACAGCCCTCCATGTGCTCACCAGAGGTAGCCTGACTGCCATTAGGTACCGAGATGAGATCCTCAGACCCCTTGTGAGACCATATGCTGGTGCGGTTGGCCCTGGGTTCCTCCTAATGCAAGACAATGCTAGACCTCATGTGGCTGGAGTGTGTCAGCAGTTCCTGCAAGAAGAAGGCATTGATGCTATGGACTGGCCCGCCCGTTCCTCAGACCTGAATCCAATTGAGCACATCTGGGACATCATGTCTCGCTCCATCCACCAACGCCACGTTGCACCACAGACTGTCCAGGAGTTGGCGGATGCTTTAGTCCAGGTCTGGGAGGAGATCCCTCAGGAGACCATCCGCCACCTCATCAGGAGCATGCCCAGGTGTTGTAGGGAGGTCATACAGGCACGTGGAGGCCACACACACTACTGAGCCTCATTTTGACTTGTTTTAAGGACATTACATCAAAGTTGGATCAGCCTGTAGTGTGGTTTTCCACTTTAATTTTGAGTGTGACTCCAAATCCAGACCTCCATGGGTTGATACATTTGATTTGCATTGATCATTTTTGTGTGATTTTGTTGTCAGCACATTCAACTATGTAAAGAAAAAAAGTATTTAATTCGATTATTTCATTCATTCTGATCTAGGATGTGTTGTTTAAGTGTTCCCTTTATTTTTTTGAGCAGTGTATTTGTTTATATACATTCTATTTTTTCAGGAGGTGCTACCCTCAGCACCCCTACTTCCCGCTGCTGAGGTCAGAACACTCAAATCAACTCCTGCTCTGAATTTACCAATGGAAATTTACCAACACCCAGAGCGCACTCTGAGCGCACACTGGCACTCCAGAGTGAATTTACTAAGACACCCTACGTTTCTAGTTTGACCAGCTGTTGTCAGCAACTGATATTTTTGAATTTGGTTGTCATATTGGCAGGTTTGCTAGCAACAAATTATTTAGCTAGCTTCTAGCCTAGTATTTGATATGCAATGTGATCTCCTCGTAAAGAACAGTGTCGACGAGTGTCCTGACGAGAAGTCACTATGCCAGGGAAAATTGGGCATCATCAGCTCATTGTTATGGATGTATCCAAATGAATGTCAATAGAAAACATATTAAACAAATGCTAATGGAGCTACTTTGCTGTTACTCTGGCTGCAGAGGTCATGACCATGTTAGCCGTAGCTAGTTGGCTAGCTAGTAAGCAAGGGATAAGAACGTTGCCAGCGAGCATGGCAATGGAACATGTAAGGCATAATCGACGAGGGGCTATGCATTCTATGGAAAATAGTGAACAACGTGGAAGGTGTGTTCCACAACACGCTAGCGGAGTGGAACTGACCTTCCACGGAGTTACATTATTTTCCAGAGAATGCAACACAGCAAGTTTGCAAAACGTAGCATCATATGAAGCAAAATGCATCATATCGGGATTTTGGAAGTTACATATCTTGAAAACTTGATTGCTGACATGCAAAACATTTTGGGACTATGTCAACAACGGACTAATGAAACAAATACCAAATAAAATAGTTTTTCTTTAACATTTACACTACATGACCAAAAGTATGTGGACACCTGCTCGTCGAACATCTCATTCTAAAATCATGGGCATTAATATGGAGTTGGTCCCCCCTTTGCTACTATAACAGCCTCCACTCTTCTGGGAAGGCTTTCCACTAGATGTTGGAACATTGCTGCGGGGACTTCCATTCAGCCACGAGCATTAGTGAGGTCGGGCACTGATGTTGGGCGATTAGGCCTGGCTCGCAGTCGGCGTTCCAATTCATCCCAAAGGTGTTCAATGGGATTGAGGTCAGGGCTCTGTGCAGGCCAGTCAAGTTCCTCCACACCGATCTCAATAAACAATTTCCGTATGGACGTCGCTTTGTGCACAGGGCCATTGTCATGCTGAAACAGGAAAGGGCCTTCCCCAAACTGTTGCCACAAAGTTGGAAGCACAGAATTGTCTAGAATGTCATTGTATGCTGTAGCGTTAAGATTTCCCTTCACTGGAACTAAGGGGCCTAGCCCGAACCATGAACAACAGCCCCAGACCATTATTCCTCCTCCACCAAGCTTTACAGTTGGCACTATGCATTGGGGCAGGGATCGTTCTCCTGGCATCCGCCAAACCCAGATTAGTCCGTTGGAATGCCAGATGGTGAAGCGTGATTCATCACTCCAGAGAACGCGTTTCCACTGCTCCAGAGTCCAATGGCGGCGAGCTTTACACCACTCCAGCCGACGCTTGGCATTGTGCATGGGGATCTTAGGCTTGTGTGCGACTGCTCGGCCATGGAAACCCATTTCATGAAGCTCCCGACGAACAGTTCTTGTGCTGACGTTGCTTCCAGAGGCAGTTTGGAACTCGGTAGTGAGTGTTGCAACCAAGGACAGACTCTTTTTTACACGCTATGTGCTTCAGCACCCGGTGGTCCCGTTCTGTGAGCTTGTGTGGCCTATCACTTCCCAGTTGAGCCATTGTTGCTCCTAGACATTTCCACTTCACAATATCAGCACTTACAGTTGACCGGGGCAGCTCTAGCAGGGTAGAAATTTGACGAACTGACTTGTTGGAAAGGTGGTATCCTATGATGGTGCCACGTTGAAAGTCACTAAGCTCTTCAGTAAGGCCATTCTACTGCCAATATTTGTCTATGGAGATTGCATGGCTGTGTGCTCGATTGTATACACCTGTCAGCAACGTGTGAGGCTGAAATAGCCGAATCCACTAATTTGAATGGGTGTCCACATACTTTTGTATATTAGTGTATTTAATAATCCCTTGAAAATGGCACGCAGTTGTCAATGGTTTTAGCAGAGCGGCTAATCGACCACTCTGCACCTTATTGTGATGTTTTATTGCTAACGACCTATTGGCATGTAGCTACGCAGGCTACTTGTCCTTTGCTAGCTAACCAACTAAAGCTAAAACACGATGCACAATCACATCAAACAACTGAAATGACTGCAAACTATATCGTTTGTTTTACCTTAGTTTCTATTGACATTTCTTTGGATATATCCTTTATAATGATCCTGATAAATGAATTCACCTGGCTCAGAGAAGCTGTCAGTCTCGTCACGTTTATATGCATGGCACGGTGGAAATCACAAAAAAACGTCATTGTTCCACAGGTCGGAGAGGAAAATGGCAAAGTTTAGACAAACCCCAACTGTTGCAAACCAAACATTTTATAAAAGTACAGACTTCAAAATGATATATCATACACTGCAATTGGGGGAAACATGGGAAATGTATGCTTCTTTGAAATTTGATCAACGTGTTAACCCACTTTAGAGACAAGTAGGAGAAAAATACACTTGAATGATTTCCACACTTTCTAGAGAGCTCTTCTTTGTTTTATGCCCACTCAGCATCGTCCACACCCTCTTAAGCCTTAGCCCCACCCATCTCTTTAAGAATTCACATGTTATTGCATGAGTCAGCATGGAATTGTCCTCCAGAAAGTAGTCTCTCTATTATCCGGTCGTCACTAGTTAAAAGTCATAAACCCTGCCTATTTCTACAATTTCTATTCTTTAAATACGATTATAAACCTAACCTTAACCACACTGCTAACCTCATGCCTAACCCTAACCTTAAATGAAGACCAAAAATGTTTTTTTCATACGTTTTTACGATTATAGACAATTTTGACTTTGTCGCTGTGCTATTTAGTGGAAAACCTATTATCCCCCTCCATTATCTCAGCCGATCATGGATCCTGTCTTTCTCCATAAATTGCTCCATGGCTAAACTAGGCTAATCATTTAAATGTTTTATTCATATTTACGGATCCCATACAAGTTTGTAATTAAGGCATATGAAAGTTCACATGTTCAAGAAGGCCTTTCTGGAAAAAAATATAAAAAGTAAATACAAAATTAAACGGCCCTACTGTGTAGGAAATGACATCAAGCACCTACGATCCTGAATCTGGTCACAAATGCTAGCCTAGTGGCATGGGGAAATATTGTCTAAACGCTTTATTCCAGGGGAGATTAAGTTTATACACTGACTGGGATACATCTAATGGAACTGTTAACAGGCATTACCTGGAGAATGTGGGATTGTGGTGCTATAACTCCCTGCTATCAACCAATCTGAATTCTGGATCCAAACAACCTGTTTTATGATAATGGATTTACAGGCTGCGGAGATGTATAACGCTGCTGTAAAATCGACCTCTCAGTTGTTCAAGGTATTGGAAAATTGATTGAACAATCACATATCTAATGAGACTAGACTAGGCTACACATACAGCCTGTACACAAATGTGGGTCATGGAGACATGATGGCCACGCGTAAATGCGCACATAGCCTATCCTCTGCGGTAGAAATACCTTAAAGGAATATTTCAAAAAATGTCATATTCATCATCTACAGTACTACCCCACCATCAATGTATGTGAAAACGGTGCATTACCATGTTTTTTTGTAAAAAAGACAGAGGAAGATAGATGAAACGCTTTTGACATTCCTGTACTGACTTTACTAAGCTTTGCCAACTCATAGTTGGTTAAAATCACATGAGATCGGCTACACCAGATGATGTAAAAGTGGTCAAAACTATTTCTTGTGAGCTTAAATGATGACATACAGAAAACTTTTATTTGTATCTGGTGTTCATCTTTTTGACTATAAAACATAGAAATCCGCCATATTCACATATGCTGAAGATTATGAATATGAAGTTGACAAATTTGGAAATGTCAGCAGAACTATTATTATTTAGTGCTAACAACAAACTCAAATCAAACAAAGCCAAATAAATGTAAATGGAGGATGTAGGCTAGCCTTACAGGGCAAACCCAAGCCTTCATCTTGGTTAATTGGCCATTCATAAGCAAGTAGCACTAAATAGTAGCACTAAATAGCAGTACATGTTTTGAGGTTGCAGTAACAAGAATCCTACACAAGCACAATGGAGTGAATCTTTATTGGACTGTGACACATGCATCATCAGCAACTGTTCACTAATGAGATTTGGCACACACACACACATTATCTTTTCGCTTGACCGGCAGGCTAACTAACCATGATGAGGCCTTTTTAGATAAACAAAAAACTATTTGTTCTCTGATGGTTTGCTCCATCTGCCTTGCACGTTAAACAAATAGAACACAGAGACTCATGCATGTGTTTCATCATGTGAAAAAATACTATTTACTGTATAATAATTGTAGAACATGTTCTGGAACATTCCCACACCTCTCCATATTGTCTCTCTCCTTGTAGTTTTTCCGAACTTGGTGGACGTCATCCCAGCCAGTCTTCACGTCACTGTGATCTTCTTCTGCGGCGTGATCATCATCTTCTCCTCTGTGGCTACAGGCTTCTTTATGTACAACGCCTTTGGTAGTCCCTATGAGACTCTGCACGGAACCCTGGGACTCTACCTCTGGAACTTCGTCTGCTGTAAGCACAAAAAAATCATAGTGTCATAAAAAAATAACAATTTAACCTTTTCTTTATAGAGTGCTGTCCTTCAAAGGGTAGCCGAATCGCCTTCTAAGTTGTGAACCAGCAGCCTACTATATGAACATTGGCTAAGCCCAAGACCCCATACTCTGCAACATAAGCCCAAAATCTAACACACCGCTCACATCACAGGTAGACGTAGGCAAACAGCTCTCTTACACACATGCATTCCATCTTCAGATATAAATAGCTCGCAGTAGGCTACACAGGAGCCACGTTTATTGGTTCTAACATGCGTCATTTGTCCTGATTTTTAGACAGGTGTAGATTAAGACTCATTGTGATTTGATTGGGATCAGATCTTCCTGACCACCTCTGAAGGTAGTCAGCCACACATTGTGTCTGGATATCTTACAAGTGTAGACGAATCTAGTGAAACAATTTAAATCATCATTATCCTGCCCTCTAAAATCATATTTTGAAAGAAAAGCTGACAAATAATTTGCATACAGCAAGGGACCAGGAATTCTGGTCACAGTGTGGAGATGCATTTCTGAAAATGTAGGCCCAATCAGAATGTGGACAAGATCAGGACGCATGTTAGCCCCAGGTATTAATGGGGCAATAGGTTCTCAACCAGGGACACTAGTACCCCTGGGGGTACTTAGCCTATACACGGGGTACTTGAGAAGACTCATGAGACCATACGCTTACTGGTAAAATGCACATGAAAGGGGTACTTCAGGGGTACTCTGGACAGAGCAAAATGTACTTGGTGGTACAGTAACCAAAAAAGGATGAGAACCACTGCTATAGAGAACATGATTGGGGTCCAACAAAGTTGTCCTTCAACACTTCAACATGAGTTATAAGTGCATATCAGAGTCGTTCAAACACAACAGCCAAGCCATGAGTGGTCGGCTGTACGTCATTGAGAAAAGGGTCCACTTCCCTATTGCCTTTTTCAGCTTTAAAACCAGTATCCGGTAGCCTACCATTTCATCAGGAGACAGTGGGCTACTTGACCTCCCATCCAAATCATGGCACCAATTAAGAAACACAGCACCAGTGTTTAAAGGAGATATTTCTCAGTTATCTGGAACCGAGACCCTACCTTAGGGGGGCCCTATTCAATCAAAACCGCTTGCCAGGTTTCAGGGGCGAAACTAAACAAAACATTTTTTACACTAGAATGCAAGTTTGGATTCATCTGATCAATTAACCTATATTTACGACTATGTGAAACATGTCACTATGATAATTAAAATCTCTCGCAGCAGTGAATGACCTATGCTTAATTGTTTTGGTAACCTTTTTGTGATTGCAACTACTGTAGCGTTCACATATTTCCTTTTAATGTGGTGAGGGAGGGAAAAGGTATTCTGCCTTATAGGAACGTGTTTACAGTAACTGATCATTTGGATGCCTTTGACTTCTTATTTTAACTCCCAGTGTTGTCAACTGTAATAGTATAATATTGTGTGCGTGCATGTCTGTCTGTCTGTGTCTGACCATCTGAACAGGCTTCTGCAGCTGCCTGGTGATGATTGTGTTTGCCTCCGAGGTGAAGCTCCACCGGCTGTCTGACCGCATCGCCAACTTCAACGAGGGCACGTTTATGTACAAGACGCACACAGAGCAATTCGACCACTCCTTCTGGCTCATCTTCCTCACCTTCCTCATCCATGGCCTTAACATCCTGCTGATCCGTGTGGCCGGCATCCAGTTCCCCTTCCAGAAGGCCAAAGAGTCGGACGTGAACACCGGGGCATCAGATCTCATGTACTGACTAGGGCTTTTGTTTGTTTCTGTGGCCGCTGGCTGGACCCCCCCACTATAGTGACACTGAGCCTCGGCTATTGGCGTGTCTCAATGGGAGACTTGGGAGGAGACTCCTACGTGCCCATGTGCTGTTGAAAGGTCCAAGCAAATGTGACCCTCCTAAGCCACTTCTTTTCCCTTTCCAGTGACAAGCTGTCAGTCCTTCAGACGACAACCGGAGACGTGTCACTGGCCATCTCTGTTAGGGACGCTGTTTTGAATCTTGTTTTTCTTTCCATCGTGTCGTTAATTGGTGGTATCTCGTTAGGTGGTGGGCCAATTAAAGGCCAGGATTTCACTCGGCTGTTGAAAAGCAGAGACGTGTTTGGTTCCACTCCTTTTATCATGTCTTTCCGTGCATTGGCAGTCCCTCCCTTGGCAGTCCCAAGCTTTATCAATGAAGGTGGACCGTTAAACAGTATGTGACGATTGATTGACCAGAATAGGTACAGTGTATATAGCCTTTCCATATTGCCCCCGAAATGTATTGAAAGACCACAACTGTATAACTTAAACAGAGCAGTTTCTCTAACCCTTGTGCTTCATAATGGTTTTTACTTACTCATATTTAGAAATCCTAGAGTCATGTCGCTTCATTGTTTGATCGGATTATGTATTCAGAATCATGTGATTTGCCATTTGAATTAATTTAATTATGATAATTCCTAATACATTATTTTATGAAATGTGTAGAGCTATTTAGATTTGTTGTAGATTTATATTCTGTTGGTGTAAGTCTGAGGTATGTGTTGTATATTGTAGGTGTGTGTGTTGTGTGTGTTGTGTGTATATATATATGTATGTATGTATGTATGTATGTATGTATGTATGTATGTTGTATTGTTTATATTGTATGTGTATGTGTGTTATTGTTTTATTTATGTTTATATATGTATGTTACTACGTACTTACCGGTGTATATATATGTGTTGTGTGTGTTGTTGTTGTGTTTTTTGGTGTGTGTTTTTGTATATTATATATATATATATGTGTTGTTTATATATACAGTGTGTATGTGTTTGGAATAAATAGTATTTGTGATCCCATGTGTGTGTATATTGTAGGAAAAGTTTTGCCACTGACAAATAAATGATCATCTATTACCTGTACTGGTAGGTTTTTTGAACAGTGAGGACAAATAACAACACAAAACTCCGAAAAACCGCATGTCAAAAATGTTTTATAAATTGATTTGCATTTTAATGAGGGGAAATAAGTTAATTGGACCCCTCTGCCAAACATGAACTTAGAACTTTGGTGGCAAAAACCCCTTGTTGGCAATCACAGAGGTCCGACGTTTCTTGTAGTTGGCCACCAGGTTTGCACACATCTCAGGAGGGATTTTGTCCCACTCCTCTTTGCAGATCTTCTCCAAGTCATTAAGGTTTCGAGGCTGACGTTTGGCAACTCGAACCTTCAGCTCCCTCCACAGATTTTCTATGGGATTAAGGTCTGGAGACTGGCTAGGCCACTCCAGGACCTTAATGTGCTTCTTCTTGAGCCACTCCTTTGTTGCCTTGGCTGTGTGTTATGGGTCATTGTCATGCTGGAATACCCATATACGACCCATTTTCAATGCCCTGGCTGAGGGAAGGAGGTTCTCACCCAAGATGTCCTGTCCCCTTAGCAGTAAAACACCCCCAAAGCATAATGTTTCCACCTCCATGTTTGACGGTGGGGATGGTGTTCTTGGGGTCATAGGCAGCATTCCTCCTCCTCCAAACACAGCGAGTTGAGTTGATGTCCAAAGAGCTCCATTTTGGTCTCATCTGACCACAACACTTTCACCCAGTTCTCCTCTGAATCATTCAGCTGTTCATTGGCAAACTTCAGACGGGCATGTATATATGCTTTCTTGAGCAGGGGGACCTTGCGGGCACTGCAGGATTTCAGTCTGGTCCCAGCTGCCTTGAGATCATTGACAAGATCCTCCTGTGTAGTTCTGGGCTGATTCCTCACCATTCTCATGATCATTGCAACTCCATAAGGTGAGATCTTGCATGGAGCCCCAGGCCGAGGGAGATTGACAGTTCTTTTGTGTTTCTTCCATTTGCGAATAGTCGCACCAACTGTTGTCACCTTCTCACCAAGCTGCTTGGCGATGGTCTTGTAGCCCATTCCAGCCTTGTGTAGGTCTACAATCTTGTCCCTGACATCCTTGGAGAGCTCTTTGGTCTTGGCCATGGTGGAGAGTTTGGAATCTGATTGATTGATTGCTTCTGTGGACAGGTGTCTTTTATACAGGTAACAAGCTGAGATTAGGAGCACTCCCTTTAAGAGTGTGCTCCTAATCTCAGCTCGTTACCTGTATAAAAGACACCTGGGAGCCAGAAATCTTTCTGATTGAGAGGGGGTCAAATACTTATTTCCCTCATTAAAATGCAAATCAATTTATAACATTTTTGACATGCGTTTTTCTGGATTTTGTTGTTGTTATTCTGTCTCTCACTGTTCAAATAAACCTACCATTACATTTATAGACGGATCATTTCTTTGTCAGTGGGCAAACTTACAAAATCAGCAGGGCATCAAATACTTTTTTCCCTCACTGTATGTATATGTGTATATGTATATGTATATATAGGAAGAACAATTGTATAAATGATGTAGGGCCTTGTAAACAATAAGGGAATAATGTAGAGCTCTATGGGTCTTTAGCGAAGTCCAGCCAACCTTTTGATACAGGATGCAGTGACGAGTATCCAAACTGTCACCTGCAACAAAACGAAGGGCACTATAGTAGATGGCATCCAGAAGTTTAAGAGTAGTAGCAGCTGCACTTTGATAAATAATATCACCATAATCAAGAACTGATAAAAAGGTTGGACTCAATAATCTGCTTCCCACTGCTTAGAGAAAGGCATCATCTGTTCTGTAGAAAAAGCCAACTTTAAATCTTAGCTTCTTAACCTGCTCATCTACTGTATATGTTTTTTAAACGTCAAATCCATATCAATCCAAATGCCTAAGTATTTATATGCGGGAACATGTTCGATTGGAGAACCATCTAATGAGTGAACATGTATTTCATCTGAAACATTCTTACGAGAGTTTGAAAACAACATGTATTTAGTTTTGCCTGTATTAACCACAGGTTTTAAATTAGCATGGGATTCCTGCATAGCTATAAAATCTGACTGTAGTTTTGACACAACCAGATCAACAGTCTGGGCAATAGCATACATAATAGTATCATCCGCAAATAGATTTGTACCATTTTTAATAGATTGACCAATGGTGTTTATGTAAGTAGTGAAGAGAATAAGTCACTAAATCAACCCCTGTGGTACACCTTTATGTACATCAAGAAATTCAAACTTAACCCTATCAATCACGATGTCACTAAGATAATCATGAAACCATGAACAGGTGTCAGAGCTCAGGCCTATCGAGGACAGCTTATTCAATAAAATAGCATGATCAACAGTATCAAAAGCTTTTGACAGGTCCACAAACATAGCAGCACATATCATTTTAGTGTTTAAAGCATTGACCAATATCATTGAAATCCTGTGATATCCTTCAGCGTAGCCCCCGGGTAGCACAGGGTTTTTGCTCCAGGAACCGAGATGTGCCTCACCATGGAGCTACCAATGATGATGGCTGGAGGAAGGTGAGTGGCCGTGGACGACCAGCCTTTTCTGACCCTCCTTGAGGACCGACGGGAGATGGGGGACGGAGGACCCACGTCATCAATAGAAGCCCTCCAAGCGGGGGGGGGGCCTTGAACCTCAGACACCCTCGAGGCCTGATGTGAGAGGGAGCCCGGGGGTATGGGCCAGTGGTAGAATCCTCCTGGGCCCTCAGGAGACAGAGTAGTGCAGGACTCTGGAAGCAGGTGGGCAAAACCTGTTGGGCAGCAGGATGGGATCCCCCTAAGCCATTTCAGCCCCATTCACCAAAGACAGCTGCCCTGCGCTGGGTTTTCGGTGTGTGACGTGCCTCCACTGGGATGCAGGATCAATAACCGCGGCATCCGCCAGCTCCTCATAAAGTGTCCTTGCTCTTTTATTCTCCAAGGGGAGTGGGTAGGATGGGAAGGGAGAGTGAGATGGGAGGGGAGAGGTGACTTCATTAGGGAGGGGATCTCTGCAGGGCAGCCCGGGCCAGTCAGTCGGAGAGTGGTCACACGGTGGTGTGGCAGAAACATGACGACCAGGCTGAGGATTAGAAAAGGTCTTAGAGTGGGACCTATCCAGGATACGCTGCAATGTCTCAATCCAACTCAGACATATATTCCTCAATAAGCTGACAGTTTCCAAATTGGAAATTTGCCCAGTCAATATTATCCCAGAACTGTGCAAAATAGATGCAGCTCCTACATGGGATGAAATGATCACTGTAGTCCCTGAAAGTGGTAGCCGCCAATCTGGAAAAAGTCAGTTAAACTCCACACAAATAAAATAGGTTGGCGAGGAATCAGCTAAAAGTCAATCAATCCACACAATGTGATAGTTAGTTAGATTGAATCACACAGTTTGTAGGATCACCACAGTTCTAGGCAGCAAACCAGAACCCAACCACAGACTAGAAACCAGCCAGCACTAGGACACACAAACACAACCAAGGCACAAAACTCACCAGCATAATAACAGCAAGAAGAGAGCGGTGAATTATTCAATGTCATTTAAATGCTGGGGCCCATCAAAACAGTAAAGCAATGGAGGCCGTGTTACCAGTATGATAGCCAGGAGAGAAGCACCTTCGGTGGGATTTATACTGACATAAATTCATTAGGCCCTAATCAATGGATTTCACATGACTGGGCAGGGGCGCAGCCATGGGTGGGCCTGGGAGGGCATATCAGCCAATCAGAATGAGTTGTTCCCCCACAAAAGGGCTTTATTACAGACAGAAATACACCTCAGTTTCATCAGCTGTCCGGGTGGCTGGTCTCAGATGATCCCGCAGGTGAAGAAGCCAGATGTGGAGGTCCTGGGCTGGCGTGGTTAAACGTGGTCTGCGGTT